TGAGAGTTTTAGGCTCAACGTCTGCAATTTTTTAAAAAATGTTTCATAATTCCTTTGGTGGTGTGGCATGGCTTCAGAGCCTGTCAAATTGACTCACTTCTTGGTTTGGCCAAATCCTCTGGCCTCACTTATCATAAAGGGTAGTATCCCTGTTTGCCTTCACCAGGGAGTTTGGAAGCTTCTCTTCTCCTAAATGATGCTCTATGGAAAAACCATAATGGCTGGCGGCATGGTGAAGACTGTCCTTGCTTCGAGACTGGGTGTTCTCTAGTTAAAGGGCCCAAGGAAGCTCCCTTAATGCAGAGTCAGCCCACTGATCCATCTAATTCAGTACTCCCTCAATGGATTTCTAATGGCTCTCCAGGTTTCAAGTAGGAAACATTGCCATTCAAATCTCCCTGGATATGAAGGGGATTTAATTTGTGACTTCCTGCTTGCAATGCTGTAGAGCAGTGCTTCCCAACCTTTTTTTGAGCAGGAACCACTTGATCAGGAACCACTTTGACCAGAGACCACTTTGACCAGGGACCACTTCACCAGGGACTATTTTGACCAAGGACCACTTTGACCAGGGACCACTTGACTACGGACTATTTTGACCAAGGACCTCTTTGACCAGGGACTATTTTGACCAAGGACCACTTTGACCAGGGACCACTTGACCAGGGACCACTTTGACCAAGGACCACTTTGACCAGGGACCACTTTGATCAGGGACCACTTTGACCAGGGACCACTTGACCAGGGACTATTTTGACCAAGGACCACTTTGACCATGGACCACTTGACCAGGGACCACTCTCCAGCACTGATACAGGACAGGATACAAGTATTATAATATGAGGGTTGAATGAAAAGTAATGCCTCCACCTTTGTTACTTGGGTTTGGATGGGAATATTTTAATAAATCAAACACAGAAATAACCCTTAGAATGTGCTCTTTAACTACCACTATTCACTTTTCCACATAATCACCAGACAATTGGATAAATTTCTGCCAACGATGAACAAGATTTCTGAAGCCATCACGGAAGAAGTCAACACTCTGTTTCTGCAACCAGCCTCTCACAGTTCTCTCAGCGTCTTCATCAGAAGCATCATGATGTCCCTGCAGGTGGAAGACAGACAGTGCTAAATCTGGACTGTGTGGAGAATGTTGTACAGTGATGGAATCCAGTCTCTGAAGTTTCAAGTCTGTGCACTTTCATTTCAGGTGTCAGAATCCTGGGGACCCATCGTGCACAGATCTTCTGATAGCCAAGGGAAGCAATCATGTGACCCACACGTTCTTGTGAAATGCCAATTATTCTTGAAATTTTTCTCTTGAGTGATACGACGATCGTCCTGAATCAATCTGTCAACCTTTTGCCTGTGCAACTCGGTGGTTGCTGTCACAGGACGTCCAACTCTTTGTCACACAAGTCAGATGTTCCCACCTCAGTATTTTTTAACTTACTCGCCCGACGACTCACAGTACTCATAGGGACCACTTTGACCAGGGACCACTTGACCAGGGATCACGTCCAACTCTTTGTTTGCCACGCAAGTCAGATGTTCCCACCTCAACATCTTTAAACTTACTCGCCCAACGATACACAGTACTCACATCAACACAATCACCATAAACAGCTTGCATTCTCCGATGAACCTCCTGCTGTCAAGAAATCAATGACTGCACGTTGCTTAAGTTGTAGTGACCGACAATCTGCATAGGGTCGCATCACAACCGTTCAATGCTAAGGCTTCCTGCCAAAATGGAACTGTAGAGGAGAGTCTACTGAAAAAGCCAGTACCTGCCACATACCAGTACTGCCATCTGTTCAGGAGTTACGAAGGTGGAGGCATTACTTTTCATTCAACCCTTATAGATTAATCATACCTGAAATCCCATAATGTTGCTGTCAGCATGGACAATACTGTGTTAGAAGGCCTGATTTTGTATATAAGATGGCTTCAGATACATTTTCCCTCTCATCATATGGAATCAATACAGATTATTTAGCTGGAAAGGCACTTCAACCGAAGCAGAAACAGAGCCAAAGCTGTCCAAAAAGTTCTTTTACTTTAGGTGTCTACATACCATAGTTTGATTGTTTTCTGAATTACAATTTTTTTAAAAATGGAGCCTGTTATGGCTTCACAAACTAGATCCCTTCATAACCTCTTGGCTCTGCATAATCTTCCATTTTTATGTGCCTGCATTGAAAAGGAAAGAAAAGTTCAGAGTTCTACCTCCTTGAGGCCCTCTCTTAAAATTTTAAAGGCGGACCACATCCAAAACCTTGGCATGAATTGATATTTTTTGCCGACGATTATTTACCTCTCATTTTTCATGTTTCCCCAGAATGAAAAACGAGCAAGCGGCTAAGACGCACCTCGCCTGCCGTAAAAAGTAGCACTCGGGGCCAAATCCAATTAAAAAATTACACCAGGCTCCTGTGGTTTTTTGTGGCAATTTTGTGTTTCTGCGCAGCAATTTTGCTTTATTGAGCCATGCCCTTGATTTAGCTGGGAAATGTTTGGAGTGGTTCTCAAGATATTGAGTTGCTTGGTGCAGTACTAAATTCTCAGCAAAATTCTTGGCTTTGTATTTAACAGGAAGATCAAACTTTCAACCCCGGAGCTTGAACCGTAACTTTTGACCCAGTTCAGAGCCTGCTGCTTTGTATTAATAAATTATCTCTCCTATTTCTCATGTGTACAGAGCGCTGAAGTTCGGCTGCCCTTCAAACCCTGCTATTTTCTTATAGGATTTTACTAGGCGCCTACTTGCATGTCTTTCATGGGGAGTAGCGTCTACAGTTGGCCCTCTGTATCCACAGATTCTGCATCAATTGAGTCAACCATGGCTTGAAAATATTCCAAATTTCCAAAAAGTAAACCTAATTTTGCCATTTTATCTAAGAGACACGTTTTCCTATGGCATTGTTGGAGTTCAGCCTGTGATTGTGTTTCAGGATCAGGGTGCTTTGGATGTGGGAAGTGATGCCAATGAATTTCAAGATGGCAATGGTTTGGTCAATGATACTGATGCAGAGAAGGACCAGGAGACCCCTGTGCAAAGTGTAGTTTCCCATGAGAATGTCCCTGAAGGGTGTGGGGATGATAGTGTACTCCCTGAATTGCTACCAGAGGGTTCCCAGGATTTGGGGCTTGAAAACAACTGGGCACCAGGCCCAGCTGCAAGACTTAATGAGCAAATAGATGCGAGAGGAAATTAGTCAAAACAGACAGGCTGAACAGTGCCTTCGGTGTTCTGCCAGGCTCCGACAGAAAAAGATAAGGGGATCTCAAGTAAAACAAAACCAATTCCTGAGTGCGTGGAATAGTTTAACGATAAATGTAAATATTTATTTTATTTATTTATTTATTACTGTGCTTGTATACCGCCGTTTCTCAGCCTAAATTGGCGACTCAACGCGGTTTACAACAGTACAACAAACAACAATATTCAGTTTAAAACCATAAAAAACAACATACACAATACACAATATTGGCCCGTCAATAATAATCCAATGCATCTCTTAACTAAAATCATGATCCAATTTCATCGTCCATATTTCCAATCCTTTAGTCATCAGTTCATTGTACCGAATTAACCGAATGCCTGTTCGAACATCCAGGTCTTCAATCTTTTTCGAAACACCATCAGCGAGGGGGCTGATCTTACCTCCATGGGAAGGGCGTTCCAAAGCCGAGGGGCCACCACAGAAAAGGCCCTGTCTCTCGTCCCCGCCAGCCGCACCTGTGAAGCAGGCGGGATGGAGAGCAGGGCCTCCCCAGAAGATCTCAGGGTCCTTGTTTCATGGAAGCTTTTCATGGATGAGATTCTTGTCTAAGTATTTCTTGTTCATGGTTTGGACTCTTGGAATGTATGAATGCCTACCCATGCCTTGGATTAATGTTTCCTGCTTTCCTGAATTATATTAGAGAAGTGTGGACTTTGTTTTTGTGGACTTTGCTGAACTTTACCCTGGACTATTTTTGCTCCTGCTTATCTTCTTACCTAATTGGAGTTACCTATTTCTTTAAAGTGCTTTTTTACTTGCTGCTTTTTAATTCTCTTCAATAAAAGGATTGTTTTCCAATCAACGGTGTGATGTTTGCAGTCAGAGGGCTTTTCCTGTCCTGGAGTGCAAGAGGCATTATATATCATGGGTTATGTAACATATATAAAACATATAATATATAAGAGTCCCTGGTGGCGCAGTGCGTTAAACCGCTGAGGTGCTAAACTTGCTAACTGAAAGGTCGCAGGTGAGCTCCTGCTGTTAGCCCCAGCTTCTGCCAACCTAGCAGTTCAAAAACATGTAAATGTGAGTATATCAATAAGTACCATTCCGGTGGGAAGGTAACGGCACTCCATGCAGTCCACATGACCTTGGAGGCATCTCCGGACAAAGACGGCTCTTTGGCTTAGAAATGGAGATGAGCACCAACCCCCAGAGTTGGGCACGATTGGACTTAATGTCAGGCAAAAACCTTTACTTTACCTTAAGACAAGGCAAGTGCTGATATTCTTATTAATTTTCGGTTTGCACCCCATGCGCTGCCAGTAAGTTTCTGCAGGATGTTAAATTAAAAGTAAAGGTTTTCACCTGACATTCAGTCCAGTCGTGTCCGACTCTGGGGGTTGGTGCTCATCTCCATTTCTAAGCCAAAAGGCTGCCGTTGTCCGGAGACGCCTCCAAGGTCATGTGGACTGCATGGAGTGTGTTACCTTCCCACCGGAGCGGTACCTATTGATCTACTCACATTTGCATGTTTTTGAACTGCTAGGTTGGCAGAAGCTGGGGCTAACAGTGGGAGCTCCCGCTGCTCCCCGGATTTGAACCTGCGACCTTTTGGTCAGCAAATTTAGCAGCTAGGCGTTTTCCGGAGACACCTAAATAAACTCTCCTCCATATTTTGATTCCTATCTTCAAGCCAATTTCTCAATGTCCACTGCAAGCCCGTAACTGTTCCATTTGCTTCTTCCCTCCCTTCACCCTCTATCGCAGGTACAGGACATCTCCTTCAGCCACGACTGCCGCTGGGTGGTGGTCAGCACCCTCCGAGGCACGTCCCACGTCTTCCCCATCAACCCCTATGGGGGGCAGCCCTGCGTCCGTACGCACATGTCGCCCCGGGTTGTGAACCGCATGAGCCGCTTCCAGAAGAGCGCAGGCCTAGAAGAGATAGAACAGGAGCTGACAACCAAGCAAGGGGGCCGTTGCAGTCCCGTCCCTGGCCTGTCCAGCAGCCCGTCTGGATCACCTCTTCATGGTAAGACCATTTTAAAAGAAAGGCTTCATTAGCAGAAAAAGATGAGATTTGCAGGATTTTTCGGAGGCAACACTGATGGAATCGCTCCAGGAGTTGTGTGTGACATCTGTAGACAGTCCACGTTTCGCAGTAGGGTTGGGAGTGCAGTAGCTTTATAAACAAGCATCTTGGTCTCCCTATGGATGTCCCGATGCTCAAACACTCTGTGCGTCATTCTGAAAAATGCTGCACTTGCAGAGCTCAGGAGATGGGTATGTAGATGGTGATGCAACATTTCATCTCAGTTTTTATTTTGTGAACTTTCCACAATCCGTGCTCTATCCTGCGTTTCTAGGTGCCACTTGACAGCTGTATTGTTTGTGATTCAAGGATAGAAGGAGCGCTCTGTCTGTTCTGGACATCCTGCAGGCAAATATTTACAATATTGTTTTGTGAGGAAATGGGAAAGCTAGCTGAAGAAGAAAGATGAGCTCAAAGGAAAGGTTGGGCCGCTTGCTTTTCTTTTTGTTTGGTTTTGTGTTCTCTGAGTTCTCCCATAGTTTTGATGTGGGGGAGCATTCCCACGCAACCTTGATCTGCTGTGGCTACTTGCCCTGGTGGCAACTTGCTTTCAATCCCTCGCTTTTCCCTATAATGTGTTGTTGGCAATAGGTCAGCGATCTGAACATGGGGAGTGAGGTGTTAGCCCCAGCTCCTGCCAATCATTGAAAACATGCAAATGTGAGTAGATTAATAGGTAGATTAATTACCTTCAGTGAGAAGGTAATAGTAGATTAATTAATAGTAGATTAATAGTAGTAGTAGATTAATTAATTAATAGTAGTAGTAGATTAATTAATAGTAGATTAATTACCTTCAGTGAGAAGGTAATGGTGCTCCATGCAGTCATGCCGGCCACATGATCTTGGAGGCGTCTATGGACAACACTGGCTCTTTGGCTTAGAAATGGAGATGAGCACCAACTCCCAGAGTTGGACATGACTAGACTTAATGTCAAGGGGAAACCTTTACCTTTACCTATAATGTGTTGTATAAATTAGGGCCAGCTGCACATTTTCATAACATATTCTGCTTCTGCAATTTATGGCTTTGGAAGCAACCAGCTGATTCATTTCTAGTGCCTTCCTTTCCTCTTGAGACACTGAGATCCATGATGGATTTTGGGGCTCCTCTGTAGACTTCTGAAGTATTCCTACTTTTTAGACCCTTTTATTTTATTTATTTATTTATTTTCCGCCGTTCTCACCTGGGGGGTGGGGGGCGGGCGGGCGGGCTCAGAGCGGCCTCACAATAAGCACCATAAGATGCCATCACCACCATAAAATATTCAGCAGATAAATTAGAAATATTAAAAAAGTTAGTTAAAAACAATTGATTGCACATGCCAGTTAAAAACCAAATCCAAGTCTGGGTCAATTCATTGTCACGAGTTGCCCAAGTCTTCTTTCCACTTGCCGCTAATCACTGGTCAGATGCCTGGTTCCATCGCCAAGTCTTAAGTTTCCTTCTAAAGGACAGGAGAGAGGTGACCAGTCTGATGTCCCTGGAGAGAGACTTCCACAGACGGGGGGACACTGCCGAGAAGGCCTTGTCTCTCGTCCCTACAAACGCGTTTGCGATGGCCTCTCCAGATGATCTTAAACTTCATGATGGTTCATAACAGGAGATATGTTTGGATAGGTAGTCTGGGCCAGAACCATTTAGTGCTTTAGAGGTTAAAACCAGCACTTTGAATTGTGCTCGGAAGCTGATCGGCAGCCAGTGGACCTGGCGTAACAGAGGAGTTGTATGATCCCTGTATGCCACTCGGGTGAGCAACCTGGCTGCCGACCGTTGGACTAATTGAAGCTTCCGGGCAGTCTTCAAAGGCAGCCCCACGTAGAGCACATTGCAGTAGTCTATTCAGGATGTAACAAGAGCGTGGACCACCGTGACCAAGTCAGACTTCTCAAGGAATAGGCGCAGCTGTACCTTTTAATATATATAATTTAATTCATTTAATTTAATAATATTCAATTAATTAATAATATTTAATTAATTTAATAATATTTAATTTAATAATTAAGAGCAGACCTTGGTGGTTCAGTAATTGGCCACATTTGGGAAGCGGTTTCTCCATCTTTGCAAGACTCTCTGCCACCCGGCTCCTCTCGAGCTGCAGCTTCCTCCTTGCATTACAAGGCAGCCGTCGAGTGTGACATGCTTGGAACAGACACCAGATTGCTGTAAACCATTATTATAACACATCCAATCATTTTTAACTACTGACATCATATAGAGAACAGGAAGGAGCGATCAACGTCTGCAGCTTTCATCCCCCGAGTGTCTGTTTTCTGTCAAGGGGGAACTACAGTAAGTTGTCGCCTTTATAGGTTTTCCAAACACATTGGAAGGTTTTTCTTCCGATGTGTCTGATGCTCAAGAAGTGTCTGAGAGGTTTCATTTGGTTTTCATTAGCTTGACCTAGACATTTTCAGGGGCAGACTGATTGATATTTTGAAGCCAGTTGAACCCTTGAAGAATGATGGGTGGTATTGTTAATGTCCTTTTCAAAAGTAATACATCAAATTGAAATACCTTGATATAGACTGCTCAGGAGAGTTGAAAAGAGGATTGGGTTTCTCCCGAGCTCTATATTCCATTCACGTCCAAATACAGTTAGTCGTGCCATTCAGTTGCACAGGTTCCTATATTTATATTTTATGGCATTGGATGAAGATGGTCCCTCAATTTTGGATGACGATGGTCCTCCAGTTCGGCTGTGGACTCATCTTGAGTGATAATAATAATAATAATAATAATAATAATAATAATAATTGCAGAGACTCTGGCACAAGCCAGTAAAGGTGGTCCCAGTGGTGATTGGCACACTGGGTGCAGTGCCTAAAGACCTTGGCCTGCACTTAAACACAATCGGTGCTGACAAAATTACCAGCTGCAGAAGGCCACCTTACTGGGATCTGCATGCATTATTCGCTGATACATCACACAGTCCTAGACACTTGGGAAGTGTCTGACGTGTGATCCAATACAACAGCCAGCAGAGTGATCTTGTCTGCTGTGGACTCATCTTGTTGTGTTTCGAATAATAATAATAATAATAATAATAATAATAATAATAATAATAAACAACACTATATGAGGATTTAAAGATTGAACTGCAAAGACTCTGGCACAAGCCAGTAAAGGTGGTCCCAGTGGTGATCAGCATACTGGGTGCAGTGCCTAAAGACCTTGGCCTGCACTTAAACACAATTGGCGCTGCCAAAATTACCATCTGCCAGCTGCAGAAGGCCACCTTACTGAGATCTGCACACATTATTCACTGATACATCACACAGTCACTCTGCTGACTGTTGTATTGGATCACACGTTGGACACTTCCCAAGTGTCTAGGACTGTGTGATGTATCGGCGAATAATGTGTGCAGATCCCAGTAGGGTGGCCTTCAGCACCAATTGTGTTTACGTGCAGGCCAAGGTCTTTAGGCACTGCACCCAGTGTGCCGATCACCACTGGGACCAACTTTACTGGCTTGTGCCATTCTCCTCCTCCTCCTCCTCCTTATTATTATTAGAAACATAACAAGATGAGTCCACAGCAAACAAGATCATTCTGCTGGCTATTGTATTGGATCACACGTTAGACACTTCCCAAGTGCCTAGGACTGTGTGATGTATCGACAAGTAATGCATGCAGATCCCAGTAAGGTATTATTTTGTGTCAGGAGCGATTCGAGAAACTACAAGTCGCTTCTGGTGTGAAAGAATTGGCCGTCTGCAAGGACGTTGCTCAGGGAAAGCCCGGATGTTTTGATGTTTTACCATCCTTGTGGAAGGCTTCTCTCATGTCCTCGCATGGGAAGCTGGAGCTGACAGAGGGAGCTCATCCACACTCCCTGGATTCTAACCTGCGACCTGTCAGTCTTCAGTCCTGTTGGCACAAGGGTTTAACCCATTGCGCCACTGGGGGCTCCATCTTGAAGCAATGCCCATTTGGGGATGGTGGGACTGGTGGTACCTAAGCTTAGAAACGTATTGGCAATCTCTTTCAAAAGCAGCAGTTTTATTTATTTCCAAGTGCATCTTCTGCTCCGCTGTGGCTTTTCTGAGAGCATTGGGCCCCCTGGAAAGGTCTCTTCCCACTTCCACTTTCATCCTGTCACAGTCTGGGACCCTGAGAAAGCATCTCTGGAGAGCACACTACAAACGTGTCCCGTCCATGTGAACCCCCCGCCCTCCCCTCCCGGACATATTTTTATCTCTCGAGTGCATTAGGTATAGCGGCGAAACAAATCTATTTATGGGTTTATTCTAGGCCCATCTCTAAATTGTTTACTTGTGCAATATAAACCTTTTAATTGGGGAGGAATCCATCTCACAGTGAGCGCATGAATGAATGAATCACTTCTGGCTCGGCCTGCATATTCCCTCCAAACAGGAAGGACGGTAAAGGAAACGGTTAAGAGGCATCCGATAAGGAGATCATTTCCGTGGCATCTGTGAGGGCCGAGGCGGGTCAGTTCTCCTCTTCTTGGGCTTCTTTGATCCTCCTAAAGCCTTGCCAGGTTTGGTTTGGTTCAGTGCTGACCTGAGCCCCACATCAGTGTCCTCTTGGTGCGGGTTTCGGCTGTTACGGGAACAATGCCATGGTATCCCTGGGTTGCATAAATGGAAATCACAAAATTAGACTTTTCTCCATTGTCGGCTGGATACAAACTATGCAATACTTCCTTTTAATTTTTATTTAGAGCTTCAAGGTGAGAATGCATACACTTTCGTGGTTTGTCTCACTTAAAAATGGATGAGGTACTTATTTCAAACAAGACAGGCCATTACTGTTCCTAAATACAGATGCAAGCCTATCAAATACTGCTCTTTGGTTTTAATTTGTTTACTTATTTTCCGGTGGATTGTTGTGTGTTTTCCGGACTGTCTGTCCATGCTCCAGAAGCATTCTCTCCTGACGTTTCGCCTGCATCTATGGCAGGCATCTTCAGA